AGTTCTCGGCGGACACAACATCCCTGTCGGTATGTGGTGCTGAGGATCGAACCTGGGCCGCACGCATGCCAGGCGAGCGCGCTACCGCTTGAGCCACATCCCCAGCCCCGATTCTTGAAGTTTTGAAGGGAGCTGAGCCTTGAAAGGTAGTCATATGAAAAGAAATAGATGGACCACAGGATTAGAATTAGGATACATAAGTAAAAGACCCAAATGGTTTTATGCCATTTGGTAAAGAGCTTTCTCTGGGTCTTAATTGCTACAAAATAGCTTCGTGTCTTAGAAATTGTTGTCAAGAACTGTAAATAATCTTGAGATTTTTACCCTTTTCAGGTTAACAAGGTAGCCTGCCAGTTTACTGAATGTTAGCAAGACATGAGATTTCTCAACCATAGTTACTGATGGTATAGCAGGCTGGGAACATCAGCATATTTGTGTTTGAAGGGATCAGTTTCTGTTGGTCTCAGGATCCACAGAGGTGATGATGAAGGGCCCAGATGGATGCTTTCAGATGCTTTGGGTTGTGTTATAAGAGAAGAAGCTTGAGTTTAGGGGTCTCATACCAACCACTTAACCTCTACCTAATTTGCCATCCTTCCAAATGTGGATAAGGTCAGCATTTTCCTCTGAGGGTTGCTGCCAGGGGCATATCGGTTAACATGAAACAGAAAAGCACATGATATATAACAAGTGCTTAATAAACTTTGGTCAGGTCTTATTTATTCGCATGCATTGTAACATGCTTGAGATAATCAACAATTAAAAAGAAAAGATTTGAGCTAGAATAGCTCAGTGAAGGGACACTTGACTAGCATGCACAAAATTTGATCCTTGGTGGAGGGGGGAGAATGAGAGCTCCCTTTCCTAATAAGCCTTTTCTAATCTTCTCATCCTTTAAGGGCCCCATTCTGTGCTTCCCTTCCCTGGGCAGGGTTAGAATGCTGAAGAATATAGAGACCCGCTATGTGCCAGCTTCACCTGCACCCCCAACAGAGGAACTCTTGTTTAATGGAGAGTGCCCACTTAGTTTTTGGGATATGAGGAGGTAGACCTATGGAGTAGGGCTGCCAAGGGTGTTCCTGGGCACCCTGTAAGGCTTGGTTTACTTTGAGTTGGTGTGACTCAGGAAAGCCCGAGCATAAGAAAGGTAGTATAGCATGAAGGGCTTCCACAGCTCTGGAAATGGTTGGGTGGGAGAAAAGACCCAAGGGCTCTTTCCTGGGGCATTGGGGCCATCACAGTTTCCAGGCCCCTTGGGCCATACTTTCTGGTGTCCTACAGGCCAGGATCTAGGGCATGTTGCTGGCTCTGCCTGGCAACCAGCCACTTATCAGCTCAGCTCCCCAGGATTTAGCCATGGAACTGGGTTTTGGCTCCATTGTGGGGATACTGAGCTGCCCATATTTGGAGTTCAGCTCTCTTTGACCTGTCAGCACTCGTGGTGTATTCTAGGTTGGGTTATTACTTACCTCTGGGTGATTATTTTCATAGCTTAAAAAAAGATAAAGAAATATTTGCAGAAAACATCTGATAAAGGACTGTTACTCAAAATATACATAGAACTCAGTAAGAAGACAACAGGGCCACCAGGAAGAGCAGAATGTGCTGGAAGCAAGTGAGGCAGAGCGGACACTGTTGTTGGTTAGGGCCTTTCACCAAAGCTGGAACTGAATGGAAGAGTTGAAATGAAAGATACCTGAGGATAGGCTGTTCAGATAAGATCTCCTTATAGAACTTCCTCATCTATAGGACCTGATGCCAGTATTTCCTTTTATCTTTTTTGGGGGGCGGGAGGGGGGGTACTGCAGATTGAGCAGGTGCTTTACAGCTGAGCTATATTATATTCCCAGTCCTTTTTTTTAAAAAAAAAAATAGTTTTTATAGTTGGGCACAGTACTTTTATTTTATTTATTTATTTTTATGTGGTGCTGAGGATTGAACCTATCACCTCTCACGTGATAGGTGAGTTTTCTACCACTGAGCCAAAACCCCTGTCCCCCTCCCTTTTTTTTAATTTTTAAGAAATTTTGAAATAGGATCTCACTTATTTGCTGAGGCTGCCCTTGAACTTGTGATTCCTCCTACCTAAGCCTTCCAAGTTGTTGGGATTACTGGTATGCACCATCATTCCTAGCAGATTTATTCTTTTGATGAGGGATCTTGTTACTGGGGTAGGCTCTGTGTGTTGGGGGAAGGATGTGTAGGTTATCTATGAACTTTCCTCTCAGTTTTATAAACCTAAAGGAGCTCTAAAAAATAAAGCCTATTAAAAAAAAAAAAGCATAAGATGCCAACACATCAATCTCAGACTTTTTCACAGCTTAGCAGAGATCTTGCTCTAGAAGTACTGGTTGATTATTGGTTTGCCCTACAGTTGATATACTATTTGAAATAAATTAATCTTTTTTGGTGGGGCCAATACCAGGGAGTGAACCCATAGGTGTTTTACCACTGAACTACATTCCCAGCCCTTTTTTATTTTTTATTTTGTTAAGTTGCTGAGGCTGGTTTTGAACTTGCAATCCTATCTCAGCCTCCTGCGTCACTGGAATTACAAAGCATGTGCCACTGCATCCAGCAATAAATTAATCTTTTTTTGTGGAGGTGGGGGTACTGGGGATTTAATTCAGGGGCACTGAACCCCTGAGCCATATCCCCAGCCCTCTTTTGCATTTTATTTGGAGACAGGGTTTTTTACTGAGTTGTTTAGTGCCTTTTTTCTGAGGCTGGCTTTGAACTCTAGATCCTCCTGACTCAGCCTCCAGAGCTGCTGGGATTACAGGCATGCACCACTGTGCCTGGCTTAAATTAATATTTCAAGTGAACAATTCGAATAGTCCTGTCTTGGCCCCAGATAGTGAATTGTGATGTGTTCATTTTGATCTCTATTTGCTTCCAGGACAACCCTCCATATGATAAGGGGGCCTTCAGAATCGAAATCAACTTTCCAGCAGAATACCCATTCAAACCACCGAAGATCACATTTAAAACAAAGATCTACCACCCAAACATTGATGAAAAAGGGCAGGTCTGCCTGCCAGTAATTAGTGCTGAGAACTGGAAGCCAGCAACCAAGACCGACCAAGGTAAGCATATTTCCTTGTCTGCCTTGGATGGAACTCTACTGAGAATGCTGCTGTGGGATAGGGACTTTAAGTTTCCTTCTAATGCCAAGTCAGGGTCCAGAGAAGTCTTAAACATACCAGTACATGCAGAAGTATTACTGAGGTTCCACCAGTCCTGTGGGATGGTTGCCTCAGTTGAAAACTACTGTGCAGTATTGAGGAGGCCCTTTCTGGGCTTCTTACAGTGTAATGAGACATAGACATCCTGACTATTTGCTGAATGTGCAGTGATGGGGTATGGGCATTAATCCCTAGAAGTGAGGAGGGATTGTGGGACTGCCTAGAAGAAGAAGATAGAGTGGTGTCTAAGCTGGTATTATACAGCAGGTAGTGCCTAAACTTATTAGGCTTGAAGGAAGAAGAGTGGTTGGTGAGTTCCTTCCTGGGTAACAGAAGGGCATGAGCCAAGATCCAGTGGCTCAGAATGGGTTGTTTGGAGAGGCAGCAAGGTCAGACTCTAGAGCAACATTCCTGGATGAAAGCATATCGTTGGTTATGGAACTCCTTGGATTGGATGTGGTTGTGTATGTGTCCATTTGTCTATATGAACACACACATGTTCATTTTGTAGGAAAAGTATTTGACTCAGTATTGTGATTATCCTCCCTTTTATCCCCTGGAAGTAGCAAAAACAATTAGAGACTCTCATGTGAAGCCCTGACATCATTTTTTTGGTGGCTTTGTAATGAGAAGTAAAAGAATATAAGATCTGTTTATATTACAGAATGTGGTGAGGCTACAGTGGAGTTTTTCATTGATAGATTAAAAAGTTACTTTTTGGTGGAAGCCCACCCTAGAAGATGGAATTAAAAGGCTTTCACAAGAAAAATTGAGTCTTACTTCTTAAATAATCACCATGAAAAGTGTATGCTGGTCCTCCACAGCTGAGTAGTTGATAGGTGTAAGTGCTGAATGTAGGTGCTCATTTCAGAGAGTGAACTCCAAAGGACTTTACACTGGTTGTGTAAAAGTTGATGTTTATAACAGCCTGACACAATTCTCAGTGCACATGGCCTGATTTTTTTCCCCCATATGAAGTCTTGGTTCTTTGTTGGATTGTGTCAACCTTCACACAACTCCTGGAGATCTTGCTGAGTTGTATATCTCTGTTCGGCCACTATGTCAGCAGAGGGTGGGAGGAATTGTTCTTCCAGGTCAGGCTGCCCAGGATCTGATTCTGGCTACAAAGATTTTAGGGTCTTCTCCCTTGCCTGAGAACCGAGGGCATGGTGGCCAGGACTGGGGACGCTTGCAAGATATAGATGCAAGTGTTTTGCCACCTCTTGCAGGAGCTGACTGTGTAAGAGGGCCACAGCAATACTATTTTAGCTTCAGCTAGAAATGTTATAGCATAGCCCAAATGTTCTGCTTTTTCAGGATGGGACTGCTCCCTTCCCCCATTACAAAGAGATAACTTAGGGGTGGCCTTTTATTCTTTTGTAAAATGTACCTGTTGATTTAAGATTTATAAGGTAAAAATTTTGGTGTAGGTTCTATATTCCTATTTTGTGACTTGGGACTGTCTGGGGTTTCTTCATAGATAATTATTCTGTAGAGCCTTTATAGCATGGTCTTGATCCCATTCTTACATATATCACGAATGTTGTCCCTTGCACTTCACCACATTCTTATATTTCTGTTATCTATTTCTCATTTACAAACCCCCTCAAAGCTTAATTGCTTAAAGTAACAAGTTTATTGCTCATTCTTTTGGTTGTCTGGTTTCATCTGGATGATCATTCTTGGGGTCACTCTTGCATCACATTGAGCTGAGAGCTGTGCAGGGTTTGGGATGTGCCAGTGGGCATCATTCACATGTGTGGCAATTTATGTTTACTGGAATCCTCAGTTCTCTTTTTGGCCTCTTATAGGCTGGATAGGACTTCTTTATATCACGGTGGGGTTCCAGGGCAAAAGCAGAAACTGCCAGACCACTATGGCACAGATGCAGAACTGGTATAGTGTCATTTCTGCTATATTCTGTTGGTCAAGCAACCTAGACTCTAGAGAAGGGAAATGGACTTTGCATCTTGACAGGAGGCATAGCAACTCTGGAGAGGGGGTTACAGAGGTAGAACAGGTGGGCAGTGATACTGAATCCTCTTGCTGGCTCCTCAGGCCTCCTTGGGGCCACTTATCCCAAACGATGGCTGTCCTGGACATACCTTTGCTGTTCCCACTTGCTAGATCTTCCTATGTTCTATGTACCAATTTTTCTGGCCCTATTTCCTGATTGCTCTTCAACCACTAACATTGTACAATTTATTTTTGTTTTGTTTTTGTTTTTTTATTTATTTGCATTGCTAGGCATAGAACCTTAGGGCCCTGAGTATGCTAGGCAAGCTCTCCACCATTGAGTCATACCCTAAGCCTAGCATTTTCCTTTTTTGATGCCTTTTCATTTCTTCATTCATTTCCAAAAGTCATGAAATACATGTGCCACCCCTTTTGCTTTAATCTCCCTCTAGCACTCTTCTACTATCTTCATAGCATCTGTTCATGATTTTCTTCTCTTGCCCTTGTCCTTAGAAAGTTATCATTCTCATCTCTTCAGTGTTCTATTTCTTGCATTTTTGTTCCTTTTGTTGCCAATTTAGCTTTTTAAAATGCCCCCCATCATAGTGTTAAATTGCTATGTGGTATTCCTGAGTACAAGGAAGTTATGATGTATCTTTTGGAGAAAATACAAATGTTAGATAAACGTTATTCGGGCATGAATTATAGTGGTATGGCCATGAATTTAATGTTAGTGAATAAATACAATAAATTAAGTAGGGCTTCTTCTCTTTTTTTTTTTTACCATTTTTTTAATATTTATTTTTTTAGTTGTAGATGGACATAATACCTTTATTTATTTATTTATTTATTTTTATGTGGTGCTGAGGATTAAACACAGGGCCTTGCACATGCTAGGTGAGCACTCTACTGCTAGCCACAACCCCAGCCCTAAGTAAAGCTTCTTTAAATGTGATGGGACTAGGTTGTAGCTCAGTGGTAGATCACTTGCCTTGAATGTATGAGGCACTGGGTTCAAATCTCAGCACCACATAAAAATAAATAAATAAAGATATTATGTCCATCTACAACTAAAAAAAAACCATGAGTAATAAATGGTTATATATTAATAAGTTAACAAAAACATTGTGAGCAAAGATTTTTAGGAACCCAATCCTCTATTTCCGTTAGGAGCAGTGATTTAGTGTTATTAATTGAATGCTCACTGCAAGTTTGTAGAACATAATTACTACAGATAACAGGTTCACTTGTATACAGGATGATCAGAATAGGTGAATCCATGGAAACAGATTACAGAGTCAGAAAGGAGAGGAAGAATGGGAAGTAACTGCTAGTGAGAGCGGGTTTTCTTTTGGGGGTGATGAAATGTTTTAGAATTAAATGGTGGTGATGTCACACAACTTTGTATAAGCACACTAAAAACTTTATGCTTTTAAAAAGTTTTTTTGTTTTGTTTTGTTTTTTGTTATGCGACATGTCAGTTTTTTAAAAATGGAAAGACTGTAAGGAACTGTTAAAAATTGAGCAAAGCAAAGTGTGAAAAGTCAAGAAACATGACAAAACTGTATCAAACAGAAGGTAATATTGGAATAAAAAATGTGGAAACAGTTTTGTTCAGCAGCATTTGGTTCAAGTAGCTATCTTAGCAACAAAACAAGGACTTAGTTTGGTGGTTAAATGAGATTTTACTATATAAAATACAATCAATCATTAGCCTGGCTCAGTGGTTTATGCCTATAATCCCAGTGGCTTGGAAGGCTGAGACAGGAGAACACAAGTTAGAGACCAGCCTCAACAACTTAGCAAGGCCCTGTGCAACTTAGTGAGACCCTGTCTCAAAATAAAAAAATAAAAAGGACTGGAGATGTAGTTCAGTGGTTAAGTTCCCCTGGGTTCAATTCCTGGTACCAAAAAAATATAATCAGTAATGAAGCCAGCTTAACTGAATTTAGTATTAATTGAACTTCTATGTAGCAAATAGCATAGCAGCAAAATTAGATGAAGATATTTAAAATGTTCATAAGCAGAATGTTTCAGTTCCCTATACATTATAACAAATTAAGAAGATAAGATTTAAAAAAGACTGAAGCAAAATAACAGGATTTTTTTCTTTTTTTGTAGATAGACACAGCAAGCACATTTATTTATTTATTTATTTATTTATTTATTTACTTACTTACTTACCTTATGTACATACTTATTTTCATGTGGTGCTGAGGATCAAACCCTGTGCCTCACAAGTGCTAGGCAAGCATTCTACCATTGAGCCACAGTTCTAGCCCCTAACTTGTACTTTTTGGTACATTACATGGAAGGCTACAGCATTACTTTAGGGATAGAGGAAGGCATCACTAACATTCTGTGAAAATGGAGCTTCTAAATCTCCAAGAAGAGAAGATATTGTTAATTTCCTGTATTACAGAGAAACTATCAGCAAAAACAAAAAGGAGGAAATTTTATAAGCTTTTTTTTTTAAATTTTTTATTTTTTTTAT